GAAATAACGTCGTCCATATACACGTCCTCTTCTACTGCTGGTGCAGCCAAGGGAAACTGCTCTCGTTCGTCATTTTCCAGCTGTTTCAACGTACGAGTCGCCCGATACGGTGCTGATTTGGTGCCATATGTCACCGTCAGCAGTTCATACGCTACAACGCTTCCATCGGTTCCCAACCAAAGAACACATTGAAGAGGAGTGTCGATCAAGTTCGTCCAAATCTGGAAAATGGAAAATCATAGTAATTTTATTGATCACTAGCTGAGTGTGCTCGGCCTTGCTCGGAATTCAATTTCAGCTTGAGTTTATGAGCAAATTAAAAAAGAGCATGTTATATTGTACGTAGCCCCCTTTCCTCTCTTATCTAAGGGGCTACTCACATTTGCTTGCTTAGTTCTCGAATTATGCAGAAATTTCTGTTTCATTTGTATGGGAGCCCCCCTTTACAGAGAGGAAAGGGGTCTCAAACTATCATAATAACCTTTTCCTGCCCCAAAAACCTCTGCATACAAATTTTCACGCCGATCGGTTCAGTAGTTTCCGAGTCTATAAGGGTCAGACAGACAAACAAACAGACAGACAGAAATTCATTTTTCTATACAGGGTGTTCAGTTCCTTAGTGCAAATATTTTAAGGGGTGATAGAAGATCATATTTTAAGTAAAAAAAAAATGTTCTACGCATATGATCAAATCTCAAAGATTACTGAGTTATTGAACTTTTTTTATGTTTTGGTCTATGCTTGCCATAAAATGGCTCTTACTAAAAATTATGCCATTTAGCACAAAACTCTTGCCTTCATTGAACAGCTTGGTCAATTTCCTACTTAAAAGTGTCATTTCTAATTTAAGTAAGCTGCATTTAAACAAATTTTAGGGATAAACGAGTCTAAAACTTGTGTTTTGACGCGGAAACTACTGAACCGATCGGCGTGAAAATTTGTATGCAGAGGTTTTTGGGGTAGGGAAAGGTTCTGATGATGGTTCGAGACTCCTCCCCATACAAATAAAACAGAAATTTCTGCATAAATCGAGGACTAATCAAGCAAATGGAACCAAATTTGGCATGTGGTGGTATAAAGAGATTGTTATAGGGGGTAGTCCCTTAGATAAGAGGTGGGGAGGGGGGTTTCATTCAATATATAATGCTTTTTTTAATCGGCGCATAAACTCAAGCTTATATTGAATCACGAGCAAGGCCGGGCACACTCAGCTTGTATGATATAAAAATGTGTAGTCTACGACATCATGTTCTTAATTTTCTTATAGAAATTTCATTCAAACATAGTTTTGGTGTAGATTCCATAGATTGAGAGATGAAAATCAGAAAAGAGGCCGTTATAGCTCAAATTAATAAGACAACAGAGCCAATAAAAGTTTCAATTAGATTGACAGAACATAGTTGCATTGCTTTTCAATGACGACCGCAACGGAGACGAACCAGCCCAGGGCTGAAAGTCTCCTTAATAAAGATATAAAAAAAATGACGATCGATTTCATTGATAGATGATATTTTTAGAAATATGAATCCTCAGTAGACGTGTTCTTTTTATCAAAGGCAAGTGTCACTCGAGCCATAACAGCAGTTAAAAAAAACATTTTTGCACTATGGGAAATGTATCTAATGTTGGCCTATGGATCTAAGATTGGGCCCATCGCTAAAAATCTGCTATTTATCAATTTTATCTAGATGAACGCGTCATTGGGACGTTATTAATGGATATTTTTGGTTGCTATTGAAAATTTAGGCCGACATGACCTGCATTTCCCCTATTTACATATATCATCAAAATTATTACCTTCCTTTTCCACACATCACACACACATCTGTGTGATGGGCATCTACCATCGCTACAGGTGGTCCGTAGGGCAATTTTTAGTAGGCCTTTATTGCCACTACCGACGCTAATTGAAGGGATTTCATAGAAGTTTCGCAAAAATTGTGGAAGCTCAGTGATTTTAGTAGAAGCTCTGGGAAATTGATAGAATCTCAGCATACTTAAAACTTAAGGGTTTGATTAGATAACTTACTGGTAGTTTTGGGAACTTTCTTTCGTCCGAGGTTTTGGTTTTGGTTCTAGATTTTTCCTCAAGTTTGGTGAAAGTCAAGTATGATATTAGATTAATAGGAAAACAAAAATGATGGTGCTTAGAAAATGTTAACGGAAATTTTTGAAATTAACAATAATTTGAAGAAGCAAGGTCCCTTTAGTAGATGCTCAAGCAACAATAGCAATATTGTTGTGTGGCAAATGCTACCTTTGCCACCTGTAGAGTACAGTGCTGCTCATTGTCTTCTTCTTCTTCTTCGCATTTCAAGCTTATTGCTTATCGCATATATTAGCCTATTGCGTGCTCTCAACTTAGTGTTCTAGATGCACTTCCACAGTTATTAATTGAGAGCTTTCGATGCCTGTACCATTTCTGCATTAGTATAATTGTGTGGCAAGTCCAATCATACTTCTATGCCCAGGGAAGTCGAGAAATTTTCCTACCCGAAAAATTCCTAGACCGGACCGGGAATTGAACCCAGCCACCTCCAGCATGGTCTTGCTTTGTAGCTGCGCCTTTACCGACTGAGCTAAGAGAGGCCCCTAAACCCCTAAGTATTTTGGTATGGTCTGCAGCAAATCATATTGAAGTCCTTTGTTAGATTCTTTTTTATAGCGTGCATTAAATTGTGATAGGAAAATTCAAATATTCTTACATAATTTTAGAAATGAATTGGTTGATTTAAAATTTGAAAGTTTAGCTCACTATTCTTTTGCAAATATTAAAATATATGTTTTTCGTAAACTTAAAAATATAACAAAAATAAATTTAAAAAGAAATTTAACTTCTAATTCCATTAAAACGATTATTCATTAAAAATTTAAAGTCAACTGCTCAAGTGAGACATCGTCCCTCTCTGAAGCACTGCCACAATCCATCTGCAGAAACCAAATCTCCCAATCTCACCCGGCAATAAAAGGATGCCATCTCTCGGACTGTTAATCTTATTACTCGCTCGTTCGGTGCCCTGGAAGCGTTTCATCCGATGATTACATTTCATCGTCTGTCGTCGTTCGTCGAAACCTTGCAACAGAGTCGTCGTCATCTTCCCAGCGCTGTCTATTTGCACAATTTATCATTTTATTAATCTTTAATTACTTTTCCATTGCCATTTTCTGCGCCTGGGCATCTTTTTCCGGCCGGAGCAATGTTGCGATGGTTCCTCTGTTGACTCTCAGCCGTCGCAGGAGATTTAGAAGTAGTGAATGCAGTGCTCTTTTTGCTGCTAACTTTCTGAAGATATCCCAAGACCAAGAACCAGAGTTGCTCGTCAGGAGGATGAATGAAAGTGAGAAAGCTGCAGCAGTGCTGACGGTGGCGGATGTTATCACAGTTTCATTAGTCACAATGACTCTTCGGTATTATACGCTTTCATCGCCCTCGTTCGCCAAAGAGCACCATAGAGAGAGAGAGAGAGAGAGAGAGTGACGCAAGGGTCAGGAAGGGCTGGTGAAGGGTTGACAGTCCCACCACAGTGATTCATTTTACGGGGGTCTTTTTTCTTCCATTTTCCATCCCCAAGTCTTTGGAGTTCTTATGTGGGGATGGGAATGACGATGGTGTTTCTAGTCTTTCGGGGCAACGAGTTGGACGACTTTGGCTCTATCATTCTTTTTCATCACCCAACGACCGATAGACGGACGACCGTGCGCTCCACTGAGTCACTTTAGCTTTGATTTAGTGACAGTGGCGTGTCTCGCTCTTCATTCATCGCAGTTTTATTTTCCACTCACTGCTGGCTGGCTATGAGCTCCTGGCTGAGTGGTGGTTTTAGGTAAGAACTCCTACCAGTACGTCGAAGTTTTGCAAAAGCAATAGCAGATAGAGAATACTGATTTGAAGAAGGGAATTGAAAACACTCTACTACGGTTGGCGGAAAATGGCGCACAGAGCAGCTAATCTAATTTGAACAGTTTGTCACGCTCCGAGGATGAATGGCTTTCCGGGAGGTAATAATTTGCACCTTCCCCCCCCCCCCCCCGGGGGTAGAAGAAGAAAATAACGTTGGCGGAATTAGTTTGGTAAACATGTGAATCGGATCTATGCTTCCTCTATTTCACAACGTTCTGAAGGAACCAATGGTTTGAGTTGAAAAAACACCACTGCATATAAAAAGAATAATTTTGTCACGGTTATGTTTCACCGGGTAGCTTTGATAGTAAAATGTAATGATTGAATTTACTCCCAACACTATTTACAAATTGGAAACATTGATTCCATTTTGTAGCATTCCCTTTGATATCGAATAGAGTTTTTGTATATTATGTTTAACATATATTCTTAATATCTGAAAAAAACAATTTTCTTGTTTTTCGTCTGATTAAAAAGGCATTCATTCAATCACTTATTAAACGTATTCCAGATATAGCCATCACAAATTCAATGAAGTCTACAAACATCTTTTGAACCTCTTACGATGAATAGATTACACTCAATACAATACAGATTAAATCCAAAACTAGCCTTCATAACATTCAAAACTGTACGAGATTCGTTTGGGCTGCAAAATGTTAAATGGTAGCCATTTCCAAGTATCCAACATAACACCAAATCAGCATCATTCACACCCAATCTAATTATCGAACTGTCTCATCTCTTTTCATGAACTTCCGGAAACGGTCAAACAACAACAACAACAACCATAATGCTCCACCATTCGGAACGGATTCAATCTGGTAAATCGACACGGTCATTTACAACATCGTTAATGCCTTCGCCGAATCATTTGATGCTGCTTCTGCTGTCCAACTGTCTGCCTAACAAACATCAACGCCTCCATCGCGTCTACGAAATGATGATAACACCCTGCGCTCACCCACGACAATCGATATCGATAAAATCTCCGACCCCGATGTCGATCGAATGAACTTCACGGGTCGTCATCATCGTCAATTCGCTATAAAAATAAAACAATGGCGCAAAAAAAAAAATATCATCCCTCTCACTCTAGATGAACGAAACATATCAACATCCGGGCAGCTGGGAGGACACGATTCTAGTGCCAACATTAACCCGCTCCGATCCGACGCATTTTATTATGTCACATGTGATAAAAGGATTATCGCCTAACTCGGTCTACGAGGTGATGATTCAGGCGCGGAACGCCCATGGCTGGAATGAGGTAAGACACACTCTCGCTTCATCTCGCATTATTTTGCATTCGCATGGGAGGGGGTGGATGTGTTTGTTTCTTTTCCAGAAGAGTCATGCATGAAAGGGGTGGGGTATTCTTGATTAGCGTATCTATAGGCAGACTTTTGCTCATTTGGGATGGAGAGAAATGTTCCATCTGCTCTGCTGCTGCTCGTATCCTGCAGGCTCTAATTATGATGGATTGTTGCTTGTCGTTTGTTGACGGTGGAAGTGTGCCAATTCACACGATCCAGTGAGACATGGATTTGATTAGAATCCCTCATAGTGTGAGATTGAGAGAGTGCACTGTTATGACTGTCATTCGGCTTTTTGCCGGTATGGGGGTGATTCGTAGATGACAGTCATACTGAGTTGTTGTTTAGAAAGATGTGTCGAAATGGGTCGATGCACGGGCAGCATTCATCGTAATTGGGATTCAAGGTAGGGTGTAGAAGATTAAGAATTGACGGAATTCCTTGTTCAATTAGGATTTGGAATTGCAATCCTTACTTACAATTGTATATTTATCTCCAGACAGATGCTAAATGATATAAGTGTTTAAAACTTCCCATTTCCGTTCACGCTTATCTCACAAACTTGTCCTGTTATCCCAATCCTATAATCAATACCTCAAATTCCTGATCAAAAATACGAATTTTAGTCAAAAACTCTCAGTGCACTGTTTTATTACCACCACCGTTTCGATCCAGGGGTTGTGATCTTCATCATGTGGTCCATACCTCTCATGGCAAAGTCACGAGTTTAAATATCATCTACGGACAAGTCACAAATGAGTGTCCACAACAAAACAAAAATCCCTGAAGAAGCTCAAGACTAAAACGTTGGACGTAAAACATCGTAGAATTTTGATTTAACCAAAGACAAACATACATAACACATTGAATATTTCTCGCTGTAAAACATCGTCGCTAAACATCCGCCATCTGTTGAGTACACTGTGGTGGATAGTACGCTGAACAGATGGCGGTAGTGTGTAAACGTCAAACTAAAGGGAAATGGCTATGCGCGCCACAGGTGGCGCTACCACCAACTATGATCCTTTTAAGTTGACCGTTAAAGGCTTGTTCGATGAACAACTTGTGAGTGTTATGTCTGCTTGTCTATGATTTAACGTTAATCTAAAAATCAAATACCGGAAAAGTTGCTGTTGGACCGCATCTGCCTACCTCGAGAAATGATGTTTGAAAAATTCTTTCAGCATTGGCCCTCACGGATCCCTTCTGCAGTTATTAAGAACTGTGTTGGAATCGGGAATCTTTCCCGAAGCCTGGTTGGATTGTTTTGTATTCCCTGTTTTCAAAAAAGGTAATAAGCAGTCCAACTACCATGGCAACGCTGCTTTATGCGCAGTCTCAAAACTTTTTGAACTATTGGTGCTAGATTATTTAAAACACACTAGCTCCAGCTACATCACGTTCGCGACCGAACAACACGGATTTCTGCCGAAGAGGTCGACCGCTACAAATCTCAATCAATATACTTCATCAATCTTTTTTTTTGGCATCACTGCTGCTACATCGATGGTTATTGTTGTTACTTATTTTCACGTTTTTTTGTGTATTTATTTCCAACGTAACTTACATTCGTGACCTTTTTTTGTCGGTGTCTCTGTTGTAAAAATTTGTGTCGAAGAAACGTTGTGTAGAGAGAAGTGATATTCGTGATTGTGATTGTGGTGAATACTTATACATCCTACCACACCACCTCGATCAATTTTTTTTGAACCGAAGTGCCATCTGCTGAACAATTTCAGAAACTACCCTTCGGGCGCATTCCATAACTAGGCTACTTAAACCACCGGCCAAAAAAAATCAAATATGGCTTGCAAAAAGTGCCAGAAGACCGTTTCCGAATTGGAACGCATTTTTTGTCGTGGGTTCTGTGGTGACGTTTTTCACGTCATCTGTGCCAAGGTCGAGCTGAAGCTTCTTGACCAGCTGGGAATGCATGCGAAAAACGTGTTTTGGATGTGCGACCACTGTGCTGAGCTTTTTTTTTTCAATGACCATTTCCGTAACATCATCAGTCGTGACGATGTACACAGCTATGTGCAGTGTTGGAAAAGTTCGCGATATTTCACGAAGCTCACCAAGGGAAAAGTTCACGAGTCATAGTGAGTTTCCGCAAACTTTTCCATCACTAGCTATGTCATACCAGAAGCAGTCGGTTCGATGAAGGCAGATATCGGAAAGTTGAATTCGGCAGTGGCGGCCTTAGCGGCCAAAGTGGATTCGAAGCTTCCATCTGCTTCAACATTGTCTTAGCCTGAATCCGAACGGCTCAACTCAGCTCGTAATACACCGAAGCGTCGCCGGACCTCAATTAGCTCGAACGAGAAGCCCATTCTCAGCGGCACGAAGCCGCCAACTGAATCGATCCGAAGTGTCAACCAAAATGCGGATAAGGTGTGGGTGTATCTAGCCGCGTTTCACCCTAGCACGACGAACGATGACATTACGGCACTCGTTCGTGAGTGTTTGGCACTGGATCTCAGTGATAAACCAATGGTGGCCAGGCTGGTATCTAGAGGAAGAGACCCATCCACGCTGAACTTCGTATCCTTCAAGATTGGCGTCAAAAAGGAACTGCGTGACTTGGCACTTTCTTGTGATTCGTGACCTGAGAGTATCCAGTTTCTTGAATTTAAAGACTCGCGAACCTTGCAAATCACAAAATTGACTAATGCTGCCCTTATGGAGTGACGGCGATATCAGGAGTTAAGCGATTCAAGGAGTAATGATATCGATGACGAGGTCTTTCAGACTGCACTTCCAGAAATACAACCGAGACGCACCAACCCAGTCCGGCATATCGCAGCCTCCGTTCATCACAGCCGTCTCGGCCCTGCGGTTGGTGGTGGAAAGGGAATCTTCCACCATGCTTGCACAGGCAAGTATTAATGTGATTCCAGTTTTACGTTGTGTGATGAGTTTCCCCGCACCCAGGTTATCACGGGCCATGGTGAAGTGAATCCTATGGTTACTAAACTTCAGACGAATAGACGTATGATAGGACTTCTCAACCGGGATGCAGAGTCAAAAGCATTTTGGAAGCCCTCGGTTCCTCTAACTCAGTCGTGCCGATCCCAGCCAGCGTTCATCAATGTAGTTCCGGCCTTGAGCTTAGATGTGGATCGGGGGTCTTCCAGCTTGCTATGTCAGGCAAGTATAAACACGTTTTTGAACTTTCGCTGCCTGATGTCGGTTCAAATTTCAGCACTCTGGATGTCGCCGATCGTGGAAACGTTTCGTTAACACCTGTTACTTGGAACCCGGAACGCGCCGTAGAAAGCATTGTGGAAGCCCCAAATCCATTCGAACCAGTCCTGCCGTCTGCCGCCTACGATATTCATAGTCGTTCCGGGCCTGTGGTTGCATGTGGAGAAGGGGTCTTCCAACCCACTCCCTATGGCGAGTATCCGCATGGTAATGTTAATGTTCGTTCGGTGCCTGATGTTTCCGTGATTTCCAGGAATAACGTCCAACCTCGTGCTACCATATGTCATAAATAAGACGTTATTATTTATTCCCAGAACATCGGTGGAATGAATTCTGGTGTTAACGACTACCGCTTAGCTGTATTGGACCGTTGCTATCATGTCATCATTCTAACCGAGACTTGGCTCGATTCTCGAACGCTCTCCAGCCAGGCGTTTGGACGCGAGTATGAAGTCTTTCGCTGCGACCGAAATCCTAAAAACAGTCGGAAATCTAATGGAGGTGGTGTTCTTGTGGCAGTCCGTTCCGGTTTGAAGACGAGAGCTTAAGAGAATGACGTGTGGGACTGTGTGGAACAAGCATGGGTTGCCGTTGAACTGAGTGATCGCACACTTGTTGTTCTGGGTGACTTCAATCTAGCTGGTGTTTCGTGGAAACCGTCTCACAGTGGCTTTCACTATCCAGACCCTGTACACTCTGTATTTCATACAGGATCAGTTAGCCTTCTGGATAGCTACAGTGCAGCAACGCTATCTCAAATCAATGACGTAGTTAACGATAAAAATCGAAGCTTAGACCTCTGTTTCGTTAGCGCTCAGGACACTGCTCCAGTTATCTCCACGGCACCTTCTTCACTAGTAAAGCAAGTTCCTCATCATCCTCCTTTGGTTGTAACTGTCCAAGATAGTCACGTTCGGGATTTTGAAGACATTTCCACAAACGTGTCATACGATTTTCGGAAAGCTCATCAAGTAGTGTCATCAATGTACTGTCTAGCATAGACTGGGGAAGCGCCTCCTGGACCCTGATGACGTTGAAACCGCTGCGCAAACGTCACACCTTCCTTGGCAGACGAGCCAATTGCGAAAGTTGAAATCGACCAAGCGAGCAGCACTAAGGAAATTCATCAAGTATCGTACGCTGTCGCTGAAACATCATTACGTTAGGCTCAATCATGAGTTCAAGCGAGTTAGCCATCAATGCTATTCGCGATATCAACGTTGGATTTAGAGAAAACTCAAGTCATACCCGAAGTCCGTTAACGAGCATCGCAAAGAGTCTGGCCTACCATCGTCAATGATGTTCAACGGAGAAGTTTCTTCCACCTCTCAGGAGAACTGTCGCTTGTTTTCAGACATGTTTTCCAGCGTATTCTCTGATGAGATATTAACCGAAGACCACGTTACCCTAGCGCCTAGTAATGTACCACTCTCCGGTCAAGCGTTGGCTGCAATTGACATGAAGACCCGATGGTGTCCCATTAGTATTTCTGAAGAAGCATATAGCCAGCTTGCTGACACCGTTGCAGCATCTATTCCGCATGTCCATCTCGAGTGGTATATTTCCATCTTGTTGGAAATTTGCACATATGTTTCCTGTTCACAAAAAGGGAAACAAACGGAACGTGGATAATTACCGTGGAATCACATCGTTGAGCTCAGTTTCGAAGTTAAATATTCGAGTTAGTCATCATGGAGCCCCTGCTCTCTCATTGTAAGCAGTATCTAAGTAGTGATCAACACGGCTTCGT